TGAGGATACTCCGTTCACCCTTTCACCCTCGCCCACCCTCCTGGAGATCGATGAACACACAAAGGAGATACAGAGGGTTGGCACCGATTCCTTCCTGGAGTTCAAAGACCAAACGAAGGCGATACGCAGGGCTGGCACCCTGTCCTTTACCCCCGCTCCTCAACGACGCCCACCAAAATCACCGCGGAGACGCGCACCATCTCCCCCGTCCTCATCACCGCGCCTACGTCAACCACCTCCCCCCCCTGGCAGCATGTCCTCTACCCCCGCACCATCTAGCCCGTCTCCATCACCGTGCCTACGTCGACCACCTCCCCTCCCTTCGAGGGGGCTTCTGCAGTCTCCGAAGCCTGATAAGGATGTGTGTGTACAAAACACAACAAACTCTTACTGATATGTGATGGGTCCAGGCTCAAGGGCGTATGGCACTCTCAACTCTTTCCAGGACATGTCGGGGCCCTGCCTGCCAGTAGCTTTGCCGATATCTGTGTTGATAGGTAATAGATTAAGAGCGGTGAATCATAGAAACAGGAAGCGCTCAAACGTTTGTGTGAGTGTATCTAATTTAGCAGTGATTCCATGTCAGCCACAGCTTGTTACAAAAAACATTACTGATAGTGTGTTTAACAAACTTAAACTAGCTTTATTAAATGTCAGGTCTTTGGCAGGAAAAACATTTTTAATCAATGATTTAATCACTGAGCACAATCTCGATTTTATGTTTTTAACAGAAACTTGGATTGAACAAAATAACAGTGCAGCTGTTCTTATCGAATCAACCCCTCCCAACTTTAGTTTTATGAGTCAGGAAAGAATGCATAAGAAAGGGGGTGGAGTTGCTATTCTGTTCAATGATTCCCTTCAATGCAGGAAGACATCGTATGGAAACTTTGATTCTTTTGAATATGTGGCCCTTCGGCTGAAATGCTCCTCTCGAGCTCTGTTCCTAAATATCTATAGACCACCCAAATACTGTGCAAGCTTTTTTGATGACTTTACTGAACTGCTGTCTATAGTGTGTATTGACTTTGACCGTCTAGTCATTGTTGGTGATTTTAACATCCATGTTGACAACCCCCAGGACAGAGGGGCTAAAGAACTGTTTTGTGTTCTTGATAGCTATGGACTGACTCAGCATGTGACGGAGCCCACGCACAATAAGGGGCACACTCTGGACTTAATTATCTCAAAGGGTCTGAATATCTCTAAGGTTGTGGTGACTGATGTTGCACTCTCTGACCATTCCTGTGTTTTCTTTGAGAGCTCTATTTCTGTTCACAAAAATGTTCAAAAAGAGGTAACCACAAAGCGATATTTAACTGAAAATACTAGGGAAATGTTTACTCAGAATTTCTCTTCCACACTTGCCCCTGCCAACATCTCAGTAAATGAGCTAGTAGATCATTTTAATAAAAAAATTAAAAATGTTATAGATGCCATTGCTCCAACTAAGGTAAAGGAAGTGTCTGGCAAGAAAATATCTCCATGGAGAAAGGCCATGACCGTGAAAACAGAAAAAAGAGAATGTCGAAAAGCTGAACGCAGGTGGCGAAAAACAAATCTCCAGGTTCACTTTGAAATCTATAAAGAGAGACTTGGCCTTTATAATTTGGAATTGAAAAACGCACGACAATCGTTCTTCTCTGACATCATTACCAAAAACAAAAACAACGCACGTGCCTTGTTTGCTACCGTCGACAGACTAACTAACCCCCCAGTGTCAGTAGCCTCTGAATTTCTATCCACCAGGGCGTGCAATGATTTTGCCTCCTTTTTCACTGACAAAATTCAGAAAATCAGACAAGCAGTCAGTGCCTCTGCATCAGGAACAGCAAATGTGTTGTCCCTATCTCCACTTAACATCAATTCAGACATCATGACACAATTCCATCAGATTAATGATAAAAACCTAGAGGACATTATTCAACTTCTGAAATCCTCCTCTTGCTGCCTTGATATTATTCCAACAGGATTTTTCAAAGATGTTTTGCCTTGCATGGCCTCAGATCTACTTCATATAGTAAACAAATCTCTTCACTCAGGTATTTTTCCACAGGCCCTGAAAACTGCAGTCATTAAACCGCTCTTAAAAAAGAATAATCTAGATGCTTCAGTAATGAACAATTACAGGCCCATATCAAACCTCCCATTTCTAGGTAAAATCATTGAAAAAGTTGTTTTTCAACAGTTGAGTAATTTCTTGCATTTAAATAACTGTTTTGATGTGTTCCAGTCAGGCTTTCGTCCAAACCACAGCACTGAGACTGCTCTTGTAAAGGTCTTTAATGACATCCACTTAAACACAGACAGTGGCAGAACTTCAGTGTTAGTATTATTAGATCTCAGTGCTGCGTTTGACACTGTTGACCACAGCATATTACTAGACCGACTGGAGAACTGGGTGGGACTTTCGGAAACAGTTCTGAATTGGTTTGAATCCTACTTAAAGGACAGAAACAACTTTGTTTCTATAGGTAAATACACATCTGAGTTGACAAATATGACATGTGGGGTTCCTCAAGGCTCCATCTTGGGGCCTCTTCTCTTTAACATCTACATGCTACCACTGGCTCAGATAATGAAGAACAACAAAATAAGTTACCATAGCTATGCAGATGACACACAAATTTACGTAACAATTTCACCAGGAGACTATGCTCCAATTCAAACACTGAGTAAGTGCATTGAACAAATCAATGACTGGATGTGTCAGAACTTTCTCCAATTAAACAAAGATAAAACAGAGGTAATGGTTTTTGGAGCCAAGGCAGAACGTATAAAAGTTAGCGCTGAGCTTCAGTGTGCAATGTTCAAAACAACAGATAAAGCCAGAAATCTAGGTGTAGTCATGGACTCTGACCTGAGTTTCAACAGTCACATTAAAACTGTTACTAAATCAGCCTACTATCACCTAAAGAATATATCTAGGATTAAAAGACTAATGTCACAGCAGGATTTGGAAAAACTTGTCCATGCTTTTATCTTCAGTAGACTCGACTACTGCAATGGTGTCTTCACAGGTCTCACTAAAAAATCTATTAGGAAGCTGCAGCTAATTCAGAACGCTGCTGCTCGAGTCCTCACTAACACTAAGAAAGTGGATCACATCACTCCAGTTCTGAAGTCTTTACACTGGCTTCCTGTGTGTCAAAGAATAGATTTCAAAATATTGCTGCTGGTTTATAAAGCACTGAATGGTTTAGGCCCAAAATACATTTCTGACCTCCTGCTAAATTATGAACCATCCAGATCTCTCAGGTCTTCAGGGACTGGTCAGCTTTCTGTCCCCAGAGTCAGAACTAAACATGGTAAAGCAGCGTTCAGTTATTATGCTCCAAATATCTGGAACAAACTCCCAGAAACCTGCAGGTCCGCTGCAACTCTGACTACTTTTAAATCCAGACTAAAGACTTTTCTTTTTGTCGCTGCTTTTAATTGAACTATTCATATCTTAGACTGCACTGTAACTTTTATCCATGTACTTTTTCTTTTAATGTTTAATTGCACTGTAACTTTTATCCATGTATTTTTTCTTTTAATGTTTATTTTATTAGCTTTTCTTTTTAATGACTGATTTTAAATGCCATTTTCTTAATCTCTTTCATTTTTTGTAAAGCACTTTGAATTGCCTTGTGTTGGAAAGTGCTATATAAATAAACTTGCCTTGCCTTGCCTTGCCTTAAAATGTATAAACGAACAATAGTTTGATTCATATTGATTAGAGTGCACAAAATAAATAAAATAATTGAGAGAAGAAAAATAGATATGTTATCTATCAAAACCCAGTTAGATTAACATTCATTGGATTGCACACTTTGTTTGTTTGTTTGTTTGTTTGGATATGTAGTACATTAACATTTTAATAGCACTTAATGACTGACTGAATGGAAATGACAATAAATGAAAATGTAAAACGAAAAAAGCGATCATGAAAATGTTTCCAACAAATGACTAAAATGATTTTTGACCACTTTGTTGTTCAGATAGATCACATATTTGTAACTAAATGAAACAGAAATGGAAACAAAACACGGTATAAACTGAGGAGTGACTCCCGTGAGGTTCATGTATTTTCTTCACTCCGCTGGGAAACGGCTCTCATGTCAAGAAGCATGAGATCAGTGCATGCACTGCATCGTCCAATCAGTGAGCGATACACAGTAAGGGGGCGGGGCGAGTATCTGAGGATTTCATCGGAGGATGGTCTGGTGGTTCCTCGGTTATCGCTCCTCCATTATCGCTCCTCGCTCCTCGATCCTCGGTCCTCCGGCAGAAATAAGAGCCATGGGACGGTACTCAAGATGGCGCAGGCAAATCAACTTCCGGTGAGACCGAGGAGCGAGGAAATGAAAATAGTCGACCTGAGAAGCAACCATGGAGGTTTACAGACAACAGACAACAAACAATATGGCGCACCGAGTACAGGTAATTATTAAACGTATTGTGGTTTTAGATATAATTACATACTATTTAGGTTCTCGTTTGTTTGTCGATGTGGCTGTTTAGCGCAGTGTAATTGTGTTTATTTTGCTATTATATATATATATATATATATATATATATATATATATATATATAGGCGCTATATATATATTATTATTAATACATCATTGGAACGGCACCTCCAGTATGCCTACATGACAAGCATTTTTATAATATACAGTAAACATATCTTTGACTTGTTGCAAAATTATAAAATGAAATTCACCCCTGCTGTCATTCTGGCTTTCACTGTTCAAATGAGATGTCAACCATCAAAATGGGATAAGGGGTTCCAAGGGGTTCTCAAACGGATAGGTTATTAATTTATTTGCCTAATAGTTGCTTAAAATGCTACAATAACATGCCATGTACGGTCTCTCAGCCACCTTGGGCGGCGTAGTAGGGGGCGTGTCGTGTAGTGTCGTCAATTCGCTTTTCATCTGCCATGCCTCTGCCATGCCTCTCAGCCACCGTATTGTCGTGTCAGGTGGGCGTGTCGTGTACCGTCGTGTACTGTCCGCGGCCGCAGCTCGACCATATTGGGTCTCACCGCCTGCTGCTTTCACTCCTCTCTCCTCTGTTCCCCTCCTCGACTCCTCCGCTCGCATCTCCTATGGGCGGGACTAAGACACGAGGGTGGGAGTCGAGGAGGGGAAATTAGAGAATTGAGAAGCCTTTATAGACTGTATTTGGTAATATACATCTGCCCTTTTTTAAGAAGTTTCTACTTTCTAGGAGTATGACTGAGGCAGAGATGTACTCGGTGTACAAGGGGCTCCTCGTGCCCTCCTTGCTGCATACGCCAGAGAGTCTGAAATACTTTGAAGATTTTGTTTTTCGCCCTGACGATATCATCATTGCAACGTATCCCAAGTCAGGTCAGTTGTCACGTCTTCAATACTACCGTTTGGAATGTATTTCAGTTTAAAGACGTCACATTGTCGGCTCCCGAAACATAGTTAACGGTGTGTTCGACTCGCACATGTAACTAGAACATTACACTTTGTAAGTCGCTTACTCTAGGCTACTTGAATTGTTTGGACTAACTTTCTCGTTTTACCCATTTGATCATAAAAGTCTAGTTACATAAAGGCAGAGGAGGGAGAAATACTCAGACCTTGTACTTGAGTCAAAGAGGAAGAACCAGAGATAAAAGTTGTGATTTCAAAAAATTACTCAAGTAAAAGTACAAAAGTACAAGAATCAAAACATAGTTAAAGTACCAAAAGTAGAAGTAGTCATTGTGCAGATTGGTCCATTTCAGAATAATATATGTTTTATCATTATTGATCATTAAAGTGTTAGCAAAGCTGGTAAAGGTGCAGCTTAATGACTTTGTATACTGCAGGGTAGCTTGTGAATTTACTCCAGGTGGAACTAAAGTCTGATTTAAGAGTTGTTTTTGATCCAAATCGGCAAAGTAACTAAAGGTAATAATAAATACATGTAGTCGAGGAAAAGTACACTATTTACATCTGAATTGTAGTGAGGTAGAAGTACAAAGTGGCAAAAAATTGAAATACTCAAGTAAAGCCTCAAAACTGTACCTAAGTACAGTACTTGAGTAAATGTACTAAGCTTCTTACACCAGTGCATAATGGCAGTATGTGGAAAAAGGTAGCTTTAAAAAAACAAATCAACTATCAGCACATAACACATAACGTCTGCTGTGCTTTAAGCTACATATTGTGTGTACTTTGTTCCTCACTATTTGAGTAGTATTATTTTTCTGCTTCCTCTGTCTCTACTGCTGGCCTGAGGGGAACAAAAAGGTGCAGCCTGACTGCCAAGAAATAAAAGGGGAGCCAACTTATATTAGCCAAAAAATATTAAGGAAAAACTGAATGTAAATATGACTAAAAGTGTCAAAAGAATGATCTATTGTGTGTAACATACTTTTACTCAAAATATATTGAAAGATTCAATTATACAATATGCCTCTATCTACTGTACTTAACTAGATTTTATATTTTCTGCTTTAAAGAGCCTGTGACACGGGTTTCACCCATCATCCAAACCCATCAATTTGAGTAAATATTGTCCCCTTGAAACTGATTTTGGATATTTGTACTTTGATAACCATTAATCTCCCCTTCAATGTTGACCATATTCTGGATCTTCTTGGGGATTCTTCAAATCCCGCCAAATTATGTGTGACGTCATTGCGGGCCAAGCGCTCCAGCTGCACCGTTCCGGATCCCAGCATCTGCATGTAAACGCACGATGGTGCACACAGCAGCAAGCTCAGACAGCGATGAGAGTTTAATGTTGAACGTGTCTGAGAGCTCATATGAGGCTGAAGGATCGGTTTATGTTGTATCTGTTAGAAGTTTAGGAATTAGGTGCGTCAATATGGGCGATAATACGGTCATGTAGCCAGTGGTGGACTGGGACTAAAAATCAGCCCGGGACTCTCGACCGGCCCACTTCGGTACCGCTAGTAAGTTCAATCAGGAGAGACGTGATGTATGAGTACATGTTTATTATCGGGACACATGATATGCAGGAATAGTGATTGACGTATTACAACAAGTAACTGTAATGATGTTTTGGCGATTAGGCCCCGGGTTTGCAGGATGATCATTCAGGAGGGAAAGAACCGCTCTGATGAACCCCCCGGGGTCTAGACACTGGTGGTGGTGATAGTAGTTCGGTCCGATCTGAATTGAGAAGGTTTTAGCTTGGCCCTGTATTAGGAGACAGGAGGCGAAGGGGTGGAGGAGGGTTGTGCGTTGACACCTGAAATGACAACTGACAGGGAGGGGAGAGCAGTAACTGTAATGATGTTTTGGCGATTAGGCCCCGGGTTTGCAGGATGATCATTCAGGAGGGAAAGAACCGCTCTGATGAACCCCCAAAAGAAGTGAAGTACGGAGCTGTGAGCAATTCTTACCTTGCGGCTGGCTGTGGAGATCTATGGATGAAATGAGAGATTAACATGGGGACGTGATGAGCACCGAAATCACTTCCGGGCTGCGGGGTTAGACATGCGCGGACCCACTGGCCGCAACCTGCACTGCAGGGTTAACATGACGCAGACCCACTAGCCGCAACCTGCACCCGCAGGGTTAAACCTACCGCGGACCTGTGTCCGCAACCTGCACCCGCAGGGTTAAACCTACCGCGGACCCATGTCCGCAACCTGCACTCGCAGGGTTAAACGTGACGCGGACCCACGTCCGCAACCTGCACCCGCAGGGTTAAACGTGACGCGGACCCACGTCCGCAACCTGCATTCGCAGGGTTAAACCTAACGCGGACCCACGTCCGCAACCTGCATTCGCAGGGTTAAACGTGACGCGGACCCACGTCCGCAACCTGCATTCGCAGGGTTAAACCTACCGCGGACCCATGTCCGCAACCTGCACTCGCAGGGTTAAACGCGACGCGGACCCACGTCCGCAACCTGCACTTGCAGGATTAGCGAACGCAGACCCGGAGTCATAGCCTGACAGTTACGAGAACAGTAGACACGTATACATGCTGACGTGTTACCACCACCAGTTATAGGCATAATTACCATTTTTAGTGTTTGAGGGACCTTTGGATAGCCAGCACGGCACTGATGTCGGGGCGGATGTAGGATGTGAAGGCAGAGGAGGACCATCGTCCGAGTTGTTGCAGGGATGAGGATTTTCATTTCATTTAATTTCAAACCTTATTTAACGAGATTGGTCCCATTGAGATCATAGATCTCTTTTTCAAGGGAGACCTGCATATAGGTTCCACATGAAACATAAAACAATAAAGGACATCATACATTATATTTACAGGATACATTTACCTAGTTATAGACATTTACAAGTGCCCATAGTATCAACAAGCATTTCATTTAGCCTAGCTTTAAAAACATGCAGAGGAATGAGATTGCTCAGTTTCAATTCTTGCTGAAGATTGTTCAAAGCAAGTGGAGCTGCGCACATAAATATTTATACAGTCGGGCAGCACTAAGAATCTGTTATTGTGTAGGAAATGGTTTAATGCTGCAATGATAGTGACAGTAGTCAAGATGACTGATTACCTAGGTTGCTAAGCAACATCACCTGTAGGATGCCAGAGAACCTTAATGACGTTGTTGTGATGCCGACGGCGTAAATTCATACTGAAACACATCGCTAACAGATGGGAAATATTTATAGCTGCTTATATGACAGTCGGACAGTGAATGCTTAAAGGGGTAGCGATCTCACTCTGCATGACCCAATGTCATAACAATATAACGAAACATCTCGTGAATTTGTTGCAACTGCCTTTTGCCAGCGCTACCCTGACGCCTGTTTTAAAGTGAGCGCAGGAGGAAGTAGCTTCAATGGGATGTAGCTTAAGCCCTGCCTGCCTGCAGGAGGGGTTGTGGTTGAAGCCAGAATGGGTAAAACTCTGCATGCGATGAGGACCCGTTCCGCGTGAAGCCGGAAGCGTCGCATTAGGCGGCCCTGATGCCAGTGATGCCTTCTCGAGAGACTGAAGGCGTGCGTCAATTGTTTGTGTGAAGTAGCCATTCCCATTAAGCCGGAGGAACTTCCGTGGAGCCCGATTTCCTTGTCTTTTCCTCCCGCGTCCGGGTTTGCGGGGCGGCCGGCTGGACCCGCTAGCCGACTGGGGAACGCCGCCTGTAGCTTAATCCGCAAGACTGCGGAGCTGATGAATAATGCCTGGAGCTGGAACGAACCCCTGCTGCTGCTTGTGCGTTGACACCTGAAATGACAACTGACAGGGAGGGGAGAGCAGATTTAAAGGGGTTAGCAGGTGCGATGATTGGCTAGCCGGGGCGTAACGCCCCTGATCACTTATTGAGATAACGTGTGACACCCGATGATATTGTCTTCCTGATTGAACTTACGCTGAGCTACATTTGTCAACGGGGGGAGTCGGGGATGTGCTAGTGACTTATCCGACCGGCCCACTTCGGTACCGGCTCATCGGGATTCGTCCCGATGGCCAGTCCGCCACTGCACCCAGCCCAGCCCACGTAAACTGTCAACGGGGGGAGCCTCGCTGCGGGGAAACGGTGGATCTTGGCCCTTTCTCATTTCTCTAACTCCCCTCCTCGACTCCTATCCTCAAGACTTAGTCCCGCCCACAGGAGATGCGAGCGGAGGAGCCGAGCCGAGGAGAGAGGAGGGGAAGCAGCAGGCGGTTAGAGAAATGAGAACTCCTCTCCTCTGACCGGTCATTTTAAAGAGACGTCCATTAATGATGACAGGAGGCACAGCAGCCCTCTGTCTGATGGACAGATGTGTTCATGATGACTTATATATTTACTTTGATTCATTTACAGTGCGGTATAATGAGACAATAACAGGCTACAGATGCAGACACACACATATATATATGCATATATTTATATAAATATATACAATTTCAGAATCAAACAGAGCACTCTCATAATAACGTAACACTATCGGAGACTGGATATATCCCCCTCTCCTCTCTGGTCGCTACAATGAGGAAAATAAATTACGGGCCAAAAGTTTTATTTACAAGTATTAAGTAAGCAGAGGACACCAAACCAACTGAGACCTGTCTGTCCGCTGCATCTACACACTGTACCACACACACCTACACCACACATACGCACCTACAGTTCCTAAAACAGGCTACAGCCGTTGTGTATTTTATTATGTGAAGCACAAAATGGTCTTAGAAAAATATCGACTCTTTGTAGATATCTACTAAACTAAAGCAAATAAAGAGAGTAGGCCTGTTATACTGAGTGATATATATTATACACACTGCTCTGCTTTCTGCACGGACCTCACAGCTGTTCTCTCTGGAAACATCGACGCGATGAAAGCAGTTAATAGAATAATATCCAGGGGATGCATGCAGAGCTGTCATTGGCTGAGATAAATCCGGCCGTGCGTCACAACTCTTTGAAACATCTCTGTTCCCAGAAATGCATCCACAAAGGAGCCGTGGAGGACCCATCAGTGTATCCTCGGTTAGAGCTCCTCCAGAGAGCCTCCTCGACGCTCGATCCTCGGTCCTTGAAGTGCATTTAGAGAAATGAGATGTCCTTCAACATGGCGCGCTGAAATTCATTTCCGGGTCACTACCGGAGGACCGAGGAGTCGAGGAGGGGGATTTGATGAAATGAGAAAGGGCCCTAGTGTCCCGATCGGAGTGGGAATAATAATAATAATAATCATAATCCGTGCATTTTATCCATTAATTTCCCCAACATTGTGGTAAAAAAAAACACACGTTTAATCCATGTTGGTGTACTACAACTACAAAAAGCATCGGTTTGTTTTTTCATCAGGAAATGCAGACCGGCTCAAACAAACGATTTTTAATCATCATCCTCACGATCATTTCATGTATCATATGTTCGCCGAATTGACATGAAAGCACTAATAAATGTAGTTTAATCCACTTGAGTTTACAACTACAAAAATACTTTAGTCAACTTCATTAAAACGTTATTAATGAACCTAAATTCACCATTTCTACGCATGACAACACACTTTGTCCGTGTTTGGCTCTCTCGCCGCACAGTGAAGCATTCCCGCATTGACGTCACTTCTGGCTTCCCCCAAAACTTCAAAATGAGTCGAAGGAATTTCCCCGCGATGTTCGAAATTATTGATATTTATCGGAACGGTATCGCTTTTTCTTTTTTAAACTGACGGTTCGAGATTACTAGTAGCCCAATATTTCATTGCACAACAGTTGTTGGGAGGCTGTCACAGGCTCTTTAAATAAATCATAATCCCATCCAACTGACACATTGTTGCTAATAGCTACTGATTTTTTACAGAAACTCACAATGTATTATAAATAATAATAATACATTTGACGAATATAATATTAATTTGTAGAGCGTGTTGAAAGGTATGCAGCCAGAATTGGGTCAATATTCTAGCGCGCAAAACAAGCTACTCACGAGCGAAAAATGTGCTTTTACACGCGCATAAAATGACCCTGGCACGCAGATTAAACCCCCGCGAGCGGCTATGCGCTCGCTCGCGAGAGTCTGTCTGCGCACGCGTGAAAACTTTCTGACACTTTGGGGCGGAGCCACTGGACTTTGATTAACAGCTGCCAAGAAGCCCGGAGTTGCCAGGTTTGATCATTGCCTGAACTACCAAGAGCCGAGGAGTGACAGCAGCAAGATTAGTTGGATGAGATTTATTGGTGAAGTTGTCCATAAAAAACTATTATATTCGTAAAGTGTACAGCTAATATATATATATCAATTCATTTTATATAAAACAATATATTTTTGAGTGGGCTGTATCTGTCGAAATCTGCTAGCTACTGTCTGCTCTAAGCACCTTACAATAGGTAGGAAACATGAAGGTCCACAGTGTTAACATGTAGAAAATAAGTTATAGAGCAACTTGCAGGTTTTTTTTTTTTACTACATTTATGCTTAACCTTGCCTGAAAATTACAATTAAAAAAAGTTAATGCAGGATTTCATATGTTTTACGAGACATAAGGGCAGGAATTCAGAGGGGAAAGTAGCCATTTTGAGCTCTGCTACTAAAAACTTTGCGTCATACGTCAAACGCGCCATATTACGTCACATAGGGGAGCAACTTTCTCGAACTCCTTCTCTGCCCAATTCACAGTAGTAGTTGGTAGTTGGTTTGAGTGGTTGTGATTTAGTGAGCTGGTATTTTTTCGATAATTTTACATTGCAATTTACCATTTTTAATCATGGTGAGCTATTGTGTTTGTGCTAGTGGAGCCTTGCAGCGGCGAAACCGTGCCGCGCCACACTAATTGCGCCAATTTTTTTGGCTCAGTTGAGGCACCCTCCCGGTCCCTCCGCAAGATGAGGCCCCGTCCGCAAGGTGAGGCCCCACGCAGTCTGCATGCCTGTAGGGAGGGACGGCCCTGAATATGCATACGAATATACATTTTCAACCTCTTCCGTGTCAAAACTAGCATTGTGATCCATGTTTATTAATACGTTAGACCGGCCGCTCTGCCTGATGTGACGTCACACGCGGGTGGTCTTTTTTTATGCTGAAGTAAAAATGTCATACAAAAACGACGCCAGATGTCACTGTAGTGTATATTTAAAAAAAAAAAATCTAGTACATCATTTTCCTACACATTTATTCACTGGGGTCTCTAACCTGCAAGTTGCTCTTTAACCTAGAGGCCGTTTTATGATAACGTTTTGGTATAATTGGCCATTTTTATGACGATGAAAATCTTAGGTCACAGGCTCCTCCAACAGTGCAACACAATAAAACAGAAAAAACTGAAAAAAGTAAATACAAAAAGAAAAAAAGTGCAATAAAAGTCTATATGCAAGTGATTGAATATGATATATTAGATAAATAATTTCTAAATTGCAGCCAGATACATTTTGTGGATGTTGTTTGAAAAGTTCAGGGGTCTTTTGTAATTCTGAGGGCTTTCTTCCTGAGCCGCTAGGAGTAAAGGTCCTCCATGGATGGCAGCTCCGTCCTGGTGATGTTCTGTGCAGTTTTCACCACCCTCTGTAAAGCCTTACGATTGAGGGCGGTGCAGCTGCCGTACGAGGCGGTGATGCAGCCAGTCAGGATACTCTCTATGGTGCACATGAGGACATGCAAATATGTTTGTTGTCTACTACAAAGACAACCAATTATCTTTAAAAAAAAATAAAATATATATTTAGTTTTACATTGTGATGCAAAACACCCTGTTTGTGTATTAATTCATTTTTTTCCTTTCCTCTCATTTAAATTCCGCCCTGCCCCTCGCTCCAATGACCATTTAGTAAGGTAAAAAGCAAAAAGGCCTCTCGAACGCTCTTCCGTTTACGTGTTTAATAAAAAAAAACAATTGGCCGGTAGATACACGGATTCAATCACACAATTACAAGATCAAGACTTGATAAAAAAAAAACTTAATTTGTAAAAAACAAAACATATAAATATGTATCCAATGTTAGTTTCCCTATATGTCAGTTTTAAAATGGGAATATTATTATCTTTCTTATTGCTCATGAAAGTAAGAGGACAAAATGAACTTTTAAACTTAACGTGATTCTAAGAAAAAGACAGAAAATGTTGCCCTCAAACACCCTTCTTTGTTTTCCTTTATGTGCTTTATCATTTTCATGAACTTTCATGTACAGTTCATGCATTTCATTTCATTCCCCAGTTATTATTGTAACATTACATCTCCGGAGCACTTATTTCAGAAGGCCAACATAATCATCCACAGTTCAAGTGCTGGCTTGTCTGAGAATTCGCCGTGTCATTCTTTTACCCTCTTCTACATTTTCTGTCTATCTCCACTGTCAAATCAAGCATTATAGCCCAAAAAACAATGTTAAATAAAAAAAGGATGATTAACTTTTCATTAATGTAACTATAGCTGTGAATTTACCTCTTGTTTTCTTTGTTTAGGTACGACATGGACGCAGGAGATTGTCCCTCTGATCATGAGTGGAGGAGATCCAGCATCTGTGGAGACTCTTCCTAACTGGGAACGTGTTCCCTGGCTGGAGGAAATTCAGGCCTGCACATTTAACCTTGAACAGAGGGCGTCTCCACGAATGTTAACCACACACTCCCCGTACAACATGATGCCTCCATCCTTCTTTGAAGTGAAGCCCAAGGTATCAGAATCAGAAATACTTATATCATCTCAGGGCGACATTGGTTTTAAAAGATAAAATAGGATATTAATGAAAGTTAAATGTCTAATAAAAGATCAAATAAGATACAGTATATAAACACAAAACATGTAAGTAAAATGTCCAATAAAAGATAAAATAGCACATAAGAACCAAAGTTAAATGTCCAATAAAAGATCAAATATGATATTTAAGAATTACTAAAATGTCCAATTACAAATAAACAAGATATATAATCATCAGAATTAAAGTGAAATGTCCAATTACAAATAAACAAGATATATAATCATCAGAATTAAAGTGAAATGTCCAATTACAAATAAACAAGATATATAATCATCAGAATTAAAGTGAAATGTCCAATTAAAGATAAAAAGTCAGGTGCCAGATTGACTCAGAGGGCCTGACGCTCAGTCTGATGGACTTCCTGTGGCGCTCTGTGGTGCATCTTCGTGAAATGACTCGAATGACTTAACTTAGGTTTGCCTGACCAGTCATGGAGTGGGTGGGACACATAGGGTGCGTTTCACCTCTCTTAATTTTCATCTCCTCGGTCTCGGTATCACCGGAAGTTGATTTGTCTGCGCCATCTTGAGTACCGTCCCAGTGGCCTTATTTGTGCCGGTGGATCGAGGAGCGATAACGGAGGAGCGATAATCGAGGACCTACAAGACCATCCTCCGGTGAAATCCTCAGACACTCGCCCCCCCCCGTCTGACGATCAGCTGTGCGGCGTCATCACAAACGGACGTCGCTTCACGTGACGCTCCGGAGGAAAGGACGTCCCATTGCTCTTAAAACTAATTTCCCTGCTTTTCGTGCTTTCCTTGCGTCTCTCCATGCTTCCCTGGTGGGAGGGACTAGTCGCAGGGAAACGACACAAGTGAGGGACGCAAGGAATCCATTTAACCGAAGTGAGATGCATCCATAGTCTAAAATGATCCGTACCTTGGATAGTGTAGCGGCTGAAATAACTTTTAGTTTAAAAGTATGATTGCCGCTGAGGCACCAGATAGCGAATCTTACGCAGGGAATGATCCAAATCCAGACAAGATCGTCAGTTCTGTGCATTTTATTCCTATTACAAAGGTACAATGAACAGGTTTACTTTCCTTAAGCTTTCCCTATGGCTTGCTTGCTTTCTTGAATCACCCTGATAGAAAATGTTATGCTCTACTAGTGCTCTGGCTCCCACCACCACCTGTCTCCAATATATACAATTACACCAGGTTCCCTAATCACCCAGTGCCCAAAGATGCCTTCAAAATAAAAGCATAAAACTACTTTAACTAACTACAATAATATCTCTAAATAATAGAACATTTACTATACACAAAAACAATAAGAAAACAAATGTTAAATTATTAAATAATATATAGCTCCAACAGACAGCGTCGTCTTTTTTGACACAGCCGTCAAAGATCATGTACTTTTTGTCTAGGCAGTAAATGAGCCATGAATGCTATGAGGAAATTCTTAAAAGAACAGATTCAAATTTCACACACAGTTTGTTTGAAGAAAAGTGTCTGCATAGATCCATCATTTAATTAATGGATGTTGTATTATCCCTGCAGGTCATCTATGTGACGAGGAACCCCAAAGATGTGTTTGTATCTTCCTTTTTTTATCATAGGACAGCTTCCTTCCTGGTAAACCCAGGCCCACAGACCGACTTCCTCCACAAGTTCCTTGATGGAAAAGGTTGTTGTCACTTGTCACCTATGCTCTTCATATTTATTAAAGATGCAATGTGTAAGATAAGGCAAGAATTATAGTTTTGAACATGAGGGGGACAAAGAAAGAGAGCTGCTTTGAGTGGCTACAATACACCTATGGTCCATGTTCAGTTTGATTATTTTTTGGTCAAAAGTGCTCAAATGGGCTGATGCCACACGTGAAGATATTATTTGAGTAGATACAGATTTGAAACAAGTGTGATAATCTGTCAGTACAATGAAATAATTCAACTTAATGAAACATCTTGAAATAAGAATGATTGAAATAAGATATCTGAATGCTAGAAAAGGGACAAAGGTCTTAAAATAAACAGAAAAACATAGTCAAAACAATATCATCAATATACCATCATTAGCATGCCATTTGACATAACACCTTTTGAAATTAACATGAAGATAATTAACATTGACAATGTAAACAATAATTATAACTTCTACATTTAGCCTCATAGGGCCAGGCACCTAGCACATAACATTTGGCACTGAATAATACTGAATGAGAAATATTATAATTCAATTATACAAATATTATTTCTTACCAGCTCTCAGAATTTCAGCACGTTTATATAATCTTTTACTGCTGTTAGTTAGTATTATTACTTTGATATCAGTAGTAGAGATGAAATGCTGACCCTTATTTATTGGAGAGTTATAATTATAGTTCTGGTTATAATTATTCATAATAATTGAATACTTGTGTCTTCTTTGCTTTACAGTTATGTTTGGCTCATGGTTTGACCATGTGAAGAGTTGGCTGAATGCTGAGGATAACATCATGCACATCTCCTATGAAGAGATGATATTGGTGAGACTCCGGAACAATCCTCAAATCCTTACAAGAATACAGTCTATATACTGGGAGAGCCACTGCAGGACTATGAGCTTATCTGTGTTTCTCTGCAGGACCTGAAGGACTCTGTGGGCAGAATCGCTCAGTTCCTGCAGAAATCTCTGGACTATGAAGCGATAGAGAAGATAGCCGACCGATGTTTGTTCAAGAACATGAAGAAGAACAACATGTCAAACTACTCTGCGGTTCCTCGTGAATTCATGGACCAGACAAAGTCTGAGTTTCTCAGGAAAGGTGAGTGTTAATAATTAATACATACAGCACGCATTTAATTCCAGTATTATCAATTTTGATCTATAAAGAGAAGAGCCAAACTAATGTTGTTTTGTCTGTATTATCACATAATCGAAATGACAACCAAATAGAATATACAGGGTGTCCGCGGGGTCTTAAAAAGTATTAAAAGTTGATAAATCAATTTAGCGAAGATTAAGGCTATTAAAAAGTATTAAACGGCATTTTCCAAGGTATTACATTTTGTAGCTTGTTTTCAATAAGTATATAAATTGTCCAAAGAGGTTGTATTCTACAGTCTGCCTGAATGTAATCATTGCGTAGGTGTGTAGTGTGATTCTGTGCAGTTTATTTATGGCATCCCGTTGGATGTGACGTCATCTGAACAGGACATCGCACACTCACTGCTTGATAGCGCGCGAAGGACCGTTTACGCCGGTTGTTGAACAACATCGTTATGGGGAAATGCAAGTCTGCGTCCAAATGGTTGGAAGATAAGGAGGAAGGACAATCAATACTGTATATAGTCAATGTGAGGTCAAGTGTGTCGCCAAGGTAACCGGTTAAAACTCCAAGTGGCGATGAGGTCTTAAAATGTATGGAAAGGGTCTTAAAAAGGTTTTACATTTGACTTCAGGATTCCTGCTTATACCCTGATATAACTCAAACGCATTACTCGTGGCATTCATTTACATTTTTTAGACAATTTAAACTAATTTCTTCAACAAGGTGAAATGTTCCTCCAAAACATGTTTATAATGACAAATACTTATACAGCAATGCCTTCAGCCTGGTATTATCTGTATTTGGATAGAAAACATCGATAGGTGCAATTCCCTTTTTTTTATGAATACAAATAAATACAAAAAAAACAGTGGTTGATATGTTTGTCTTTGTCTATTTAAACTCTGATGAAGACCAGTGTTGTGCTAGTTACTGAAAACCAGTAACTAGTTACCATTACTAGTTACTTCATTTCAAAAGTAACTCAGTTACTTTACAAGTTACGTACACAAAAAAGTAATGCGTTACTGTGAAAAGTAATGTTTTAGTTACTTAAAAAATGGCTCCCATTAATGCCCTTATAGCCTTCATTTCAGTACTGTTATTGCATTGGAGAATAATACAATCTGTTGATCAACTTGACATGCATTATATGCAATCTGGATTGCATCGATATTAGCTGGCTTTCCATTTTTGTATATTCTTTCTCCAGGTAGTTGGAAAAAGTTTTCCGTCCCATATGCCGTGTGCCGCCCGGACATGCTATCATGCTAACTAGCTCCCTGAAAGCGGGTGACTCCACTGTAGCAATAGCCTGCATGTGTTCTACAACATACCGTGCAATGGCTTTATCGACTTTTCCCTGGATAGCAGTCCTTTGGTTAAAATCCAGCCGCTGTTGCTTAGGTGGAGGTGGAGTGGCGTCGGCTGAGTCTCTGTGGTCTTAGCTACTAGCTTCGTCCCAGCATGTTGTTTTTGCAGATGTTTTAAGAGATTTGAATGACTGGTTTGGGCAGTAGATAGGATCTTTGACCCGCCAAGACACAACTTACATTTAACAGAAACGTTATTTTCTTTGTGCTCGACAAAAGTGAAATAGTGAGAATATCTCCAGGTGGAGAAACTAGACTTGAGCTCCGCCGCCGCCATGATAGTCTTGTTAGTAAACAACACAAACACGCCCACTGCCCGTCTCCGCATGTGACACAGGAAGTATCTAAGTACATTTACTCAAGTACTGTACTTAAGTACAGTTCTCATCTCTGTTCGCCTGGCTGTTGACTATATAAAAAAAACTAACGGAGTAACGCACCATGTAGTAACGGTAGCTGAGTTACTGAATTAAAAAAGTAATGCGTTAGAGTGCTAGTTAGTGGCAAAATAACGGCGTTACAGTAACGCGTTACTGTGTAACGCGTTAGTCCCAACACTGATGAAGACACAGTTACATAATAAAAAGGCTGCAGTTCAGTCATGTGCTCCAGTTCCTTTCTATTCCCTTATGATTCAGAGGCATTCCGCTGAAAGACACGAGGACAACTTGTTTCAACAGTTTCACATACCTTTCCTTCAAATGATCTGATTCCTTTTTTTTCCCATGCTGTGTTTCAGGCATTGCTGGAGACTGGGAAAACCAACTAACAGTGGCAGAAGCAGAGTACTTTGATTCTGTTTACAAAGACAAAATGAAAGATGTGAAATGTACATTTGTATGGGATTTAAAAACACTTAATGGAAATAATTAAGTCATTCCTCTCTGTAATGATACTCTAAACCCTCTTTGTGTTCACACTCCAGTAGGTACCTCCAGGAGAACATTTTGCATTGCACAAAAAAGCAAGTCACTGTCATGGCTGGTAAAATGTGTTTTTCAAAGTGCTTTCTAACGTACTGCCTACTCAATCTATATTTACTTCATACTGACTGGGCAATTAACAATAGAGTATGCTATTATAGTATGCTCGAGCAATACAGATTTTTTGGATTAACAACTACATCAATTGAGACTTTAACGAGTAAATGTTGGATACATTTTTTTTTACAAAAGTAAATCAAAATAGAATTCTTGATAGTTTACATTGTTGACCAAAACCGACATATCGTCTCACATACTGTTACTCTACTATTGTTATTGGTTGTGTGTTGTCGGTGGCCAAATACACAACATAAAAATGTTAAGGAAATGAATAGGCTTTTTTTGTTTGTAAGCCTCGAGAAAAAATAATACATTTAAATAAAATCCAGATTATATCTCAGTTAACCACATCCAAATAAACTAACATTGTTTTGTTCTTCAGAGGCACATCACTTCATTATTAGTTTAATGAAAAGACAACAGTCTGATATACAGTATCTAATCAATTTAGCTGTTAGTCACCAATCTCTCCATAACAATGAAGCAGCGGCCTCTACTGGCGAGTTAGGGATGGGTAAATCAGGAGTCACCCATTAACAGTCAAACATGTTTTAAACTAGTACACAACCACAGCAAGGAGAGGTCCTTGAACATGCAGTCATAATTGAGCACAACAGATATTAGGCTGGTTGGTCAAGTGGTATTTGAGTTTATCCCGGCGGTGCTCACACACACCATCACAAGAGAAAAAACAGTCTTGATGAGGATCTTATATCCCCAAGGTGTAATTTGAGAGTGCATTAAGAGAGAATGCTTCTGTGTATTAAATGAAACTAGAGTGATGCATCTAGTAATGGAAAAGTCTAGACAATGAGTTTAAACTGGTTTTGAAATAGTCTCAATTCAATAATGATGCCTCTATATTGTTATGAGTGTGTATTAGCCCCTTTGTATGTTATATACTCTGCACTCTTGAGCTGACAATTCATTATCTCAAAAATAACAGGTAAACCACATTTGACTGAAGTAAGCAGTATTATTTTTATCTTTGCGAAATATTTTTTAGCTTTTTACATTTTTCTTTCTTTCAGACATTTCTTTATTATAGCATCTTTAAATACCAATCATGTATATTGATTAATAAATAAATATTTCTCTTAAGGCTCTGAGTTTGTTTCCTAAGCTGCAGTTAGCTTACCATTCTCTTTCGTTTTCTCTTTGTATTGGTGAGTCTGTTTTATGCTTTAAAAAAAACCTAACATGTAAACAATATGCTTTAGACAAATATAAGCCTTTCCCTGCAAGTTGAAATATACTATAATGACCAACTTAGAAAATACATATAATATATATTTAAGTTTGTTATATTAATATGCAATCAAATGTATTTCATTCTACTTTATTGAATAATTGCACCTCTATTTCCAGTTAGTTATTATTAACAATGCAGTTTACAATGTAGAATCCAGTCAAACATTGATGTCACTTTTAACCTAATGCTGCATTCAGGCTACCGGTGGGAAAAAACCATCTTCAGTTTAGCGCTCCATTAAACCTATCAACTCGATAGTTTAATATTAGTTTATTCATCAATTTGTGTGCAACAAAACTGCCGTTCACACTTGAAATATTAGAAATATGAAAGGGGTGATACGAATTGACTTTAGCAGATTACAGCCTTAGATATCATTTGATTACTAATTATGACAAACTTTCACGAACAAAAATACATCACAATACAACATCCCAATCATCAGGAAGCGTGCACTAGAATAAAGCTGCGATAAACATTCTTTGTTTTTGAAATAATTTATATTTCTGAGAATGTTTCTAAAAAACATTTTCAACAATAGTCGAAATTTATTTACGACTTTCTTCCTACAACCTGAACGCAGCATACATTAGCTCGGTCTCAGGCTATTGAGGCTAATGTTGAAAACAACACAAGCATCATTTGATTTTAGCTCCTTAATTTCGTACCATGCGACACTTAATTGCAGCAGTGGTACAAAACCAAATTAACTATAATGTGAAATTGGATATTTTTATCGATTAGTTTGACTTGGAGCTAAGTACTACTTCTGGTATTATTTACTAACGTTAGCCGGAATAGCAGCTCCGCTAACTAAAGTAAATCAACCCATTAGCTTTGTATTGCCATGGTAATTTTCTTCAGCACAGAGACGGAGGATGTTGAATGAAAGCGAAGATGTACACTCGACAACTGCAGCTAAAGGGCACCATAACAGGTAGCTGGAGAGTCACTCGTGCTTAACCGTGTATTTTCGATAATATAATTGTTGCTATTAAGTTTTTCGTATTGTCAACACGTATATTAACTTAGTTGGTGAACCTTAACCATACGTTTTGTCTGGTTGCCCGCGCGTTCTGACATAAAGTGTAAATACCATAGACTGGTAAATACGTTACCGCCTGAAGGGGAGGGGCAGAGCGTCATTGTTTCCCCCCTTAATCTACAGTGGTGTCTACTGCCTGAATACATTTACTCAAGTACACAATCTTAAAATACTAATACTTTATTTGCTATTTTGTCATTATACCCCGCTACAAATGTAGAGGTTAATAGTGTACTTTTACATTTATACTTTTAGTTACTTTGCAGATTGGGATTAATGATATGAAATATAATCAACACTTAAATAAGATTTACCGAAATACAAGATGTCATAATCTCTATTTACACTCTTATATTTGTGTCTTCATCATCAGTTGATGTGCTCTCCACATGATGTAAGCTACAACAGGCCTAACTGTGAGGAAAGGACTACACTAACAAACAAGTCTCAGATTGACCAAAGCAAGGTATGTGGACTTCTCCCATTTGTATTATAGATTTTCCTTAAAGGGGCCCTATTATGCTTGTTGTGGTATTCCATTTCCTGTTTGTGCATGTATATGGTCTGCAAAGGCTAAAGTTCCAAAGTTCCCTCCAGAGGGAGTTTGTCTCCCACTCACTCCCCCCTGCCTGATACGCCTTGATTGGATAGTGACATCACAATGTAAGACATAACAGACAGAGGGTGAAAGGAGGTGCTGCAGCACAGGCATTATTAGAAAACACATTCAACATTAAAGCATGAAAACATGTCACAGTTAAGGCACAAAATACAAAACTCAAGGTGAAAAGGACCATAATAGTGCCTTTAAATGCACACCAAGGTTTTCACTGATAATTGCTGATTACAGAGATGTTCACAAGTCTTTTTTTGCAAGTCCAAGTCAAGTCTCAAGTCTTTGGTCACGAGTCCAAGTCAAGTCTCAAGTCTCTAAAAAATAAAAGTCTCATGTCTCTTCTGGTTGTAATAAGCCTTCTATTGTCTGCTGCTATCCAGTCTGTTAAGAATACTGCACAGCTATATCTAAGAAATTCAAAGCATTTACTGTATTATTATCACTCCTATATCTATTAGCATACAGTATCAGTACTGATTAGTTGTTTGTTATATGATCACTTTAAACAGGCTATTGCAATGCAATATGAGGAAAAACATCACACTTTAGCTAAATGCAAACAACTTATAAGCAAAACACTTCAGAATCAGAAATCAGTATCACAAATACTTTATTAATCCCCCGCAGGGAAACTGTGTTAAAAGTACTTCAAAGTAAACATTTGTTCTGTGCCATTTGCAACTAAAAAACTATTGCTGCAATATTAGCTGAAATATACTGAACTGGTGATATTAAAACATGACCTGTTCCAAAAGAGATATCTACCATTAACACCATTTACCAGCCAAATGCTGGTAAATCATGCAAGTGGCTGGTACTGTATGTTGCACGCACCAGCCACAAATAACAATGGCAATCTATTGAGTGGCTGGTAACATGTCAACATTCACTAGGCTAGCCATTTGGCCAGTGGACAAAAATGTTAAAATTTGACCTCTGCAACCGTATTGTTTAATTACACTGGGTCTCTAATGACATATTTTAAGTCTACTATAAATAAACATATTCCTCTATCCTCTCACTCAAACCCAGTGTAATGGTAACCTGATAAACCTGTAACATTAACGTTACGTGGTCAACAATAAACCTGTAACCTGCCTATAAACCGACAGATGTATTTATGTATGTAACTATGTATTTTTCTACGTTTAACGTTAGCCAGTAGATGGTGGCAGCGGAACGTAATGATTAACGTTACCGACCTTTTTTATGTCATGTCAAGAGTTGGATGTCAACGCCACTCAATGCAAACAAGTGTGACAAGCAAACATTCACTCATCTTTTCAAATATTCAGTTACAAAGCTAGTAGCAAGCTAAGTTAACATTACATAGCTGATGCTGAGCTAAACATGTTTGCTAACCGTCCATATGCGTTAATGTGACTGACCTCTCCGTGTGAGTTTTCAAGTGCCTGATGACATTTGACGTTGTTGCACCAGCATCCTTGATTTTAATATTGCAGACTTTGCAGTGTGCGCTCCTTTTGTTGGTGCCGCCGGCGTTTTGTTCGAAGTTTTTATAGTTGAACCTAATTACAAGCGGTACAGCTGCAGGTGTGCGGCCGGTCGCCATGGTGTTACCATGATGTTAATGTTAATGTTAAAGGTGGGGTAGGTACGTTTGAGAAACCGGCTCGAGATGCACTTTTTGTTATATTCCATGGAATGCTCTTAACATCCCGATATCCGGCCCGGCTAAAGTAACTGGATGGCCTACCTGCCTGTCAGCCTTCCATCTGGGCACAAACTTATCTCGTGCCCTCATTGGTCATGTGCGCGTTCGTGTGTGTTGGAGGAGGGGCTCTGTGAGGAAGTGGCAGATTTTCTCCGGTTGTGTATTTTCAAATTCTAGCGATCTCGAGCCGGTTTCTCAAACTTACCTACCCCACCTTTAATACGCCAAAAATAGAAAACACAATGATTGTTCACGAGTCCCAAAACACGAGTCCAAGTCGAGTCCGAAGTCTTTTGAGCAGGAGTCCAAGTCAAGTCTGAAGTCTCTGTGTGTGCGACTTAAGTGCGACTCGAGTCCGAGTCACAGACTCGAGTCCCCATCTCTGGCTGATTATACACGTGAAAATCTGTAGGGTTTTAGGGAGTAATGCTGCTAATTTGAAAAAGTAGTACTAAGCCTGTTGTTCCTCCAGACAGAGTTATAGAAAATCTGGTACAATGCCTCAGGGGAAAAATATATGTGGGTGTTAGCCCTGTGTAACCTGCTACACAGACTTCTGTATCCTGATCCCATTGGCCAGTTAAAGAACAAGACAGCTGAATCTTTGATTTAACAAGGGAAACTGGAAGGCTACATTCATTCTGCTGGTTGTCATTTGATTGTGAACAGGTTGTTCATGAATCTGTCATTATGGACCTGAAGGAGATGATAAGCTAGCATGTGACAGTTTTTCAGGAGTTCACAGTGCCCAAGTGGCATTCT